TTTTACCGTAGTCATTGACGTCTGTCTATTCAAGAGTACACGTGTATGATTTTTATCGTGACTAGCGTGAGCGGGTAAGCTTCCTTTCGAGAATGAGCTGTTATCACTGTGAACAATGTTAAATTATTCTTCAGATGACCAGTTTATTTTTTAAAAACAACTAATTTTTTTATTTAAAAAAAATCATGCCGTTTTCGCATCAAAATCAAGCCAAAATATCGTACTACAACATCAATCTCTTCGCATTGCGTTCAATAACATTAACATATTTAAATAAGCTATGGTAATTTGAACACGTTGGCATCATCCAGCTTTTTGATTGGTTAATTAGCGATTTGACCTATTTGACCTAAGAGAACATGGCGGATATCCTACAGCATCAAACGTTTATACGAGACCGGAATCATTCGCTTACGATGAAACTTAGTTGACTTTTATTTGTATTTCATAACCATTCAACAAATTTATTTTGTGTACATTATTATAATCACTACTGAGTACAGTAATAATCAACAATTCAGAAACGCAGCATGCCGAGATTTTTGTGTTCGTTTTTATTTGAAACTTCGTTTATTTAGAATATATTTTCGTTACCAATAAAATAAAAATCTCTCAGTCAATCAGAAACCCGGATTCATGCCTTCGAGGAAGGTCCCGTTTGAACGCTCACATCGGGTTTTTTTTTCGTTTGGGGGAAAACTAAAACTGGTCGCAATTTTCGAATAAGAATGAGTCGGCAATTTTTAGTGGAGTCGAAAATTTGGAGGTAAATAAAACACCGAAACCCGGCAAATAAATAGCCAATCGAATTTTTAGAGGGGTCGAAATTTTGGAGTTTTCACGGTACTAATTATTCCATTTCAATGAAACTTAGTACAAAGATGCTCTAGGACAATGTACAAACCTAATTAGTTTGGGGTAAAAATCTGTTCATATTAATTCCCTAATAAGCATAATAATTCATAATTTTTGGGTTCTAATCACATTTCAATTAAACTTGGAGACATAGATTTTCTGTTACATTGCGCAGACCTCATTAGTTTTACACTCAAATCTGGTCATATTAATTTTCTGATTTGCATAATTAGTTTTCAGCTAAGTAATTTCGAATTATATTTAATGTGTTTCTAATACTCTCAGCACATGGGAGTTCTTTCTAAGCTTTCTTTGATTCATTTTGGCTTTACTTTTTTCCAGGCATTCGTTGAAAACTACCCCCAATTCAAGAAGATGTCTGGAACAGTAGCAAAGCATGTGACTGTGGTTGGAGAGTTATCACGACTTATCGGTGCCAGAAATCTATTAGAAGTGTCAGAATGTGAACAAGAGTTAGCTTGCCAGTCTGATCACTCAGAGGCTTTAAGGGTATAACTACTGTAAAATATTTTTGGAATTTGGTAATAGGTGATTTTCCGTACAACTGCGAGATCTCGCGAGATGCATGAAAGACGCGCGTCGAACGTCTGCTGTAAAAATCGAACAATTTGATTTTCAACTCGAATTTCTTTATTTCGTAGCTCACATCGACCGGCCGATCTTCGACAGAGGAATATTGCTTCCGAATACCTTCACCTAATCGAAATTGTCTATCATCAAATGTGGACAGCACATTATTAAGCATGGAAATGTCCTCCAAAATACTTTCGCGTTTGAAGTTCACTGCTACAAAATGTCATGCTTTTTCCTGAATCACAAAAAATTATATTTGCATCTTTTTTGTGAATAAGTTTTTGATCTTACAGCTGTGTTGAAATAAACTGATCAGAATAACCACAATCTCCCTTACAATATTTTACATTTGACGTAATGCATCGCCATACTTAGAGACGATTTGCACACTTGCATGTAGCTAAAGGAATAGAATTTGTAATTCATATTTCCAGTCAAGTTGACAATCTGTGGTATTTGTTTCATGATGGTGAACTTATGCAGCGCTCAGCAGAGGCCATCTTTGAAACACTAACAATATTGGTCGTTGAGGTGATGGTATTTCTAAAACTAATATACAAATCATTATATAGTGCAAGTTTTCAGAACAATTTTCACACATGTTCTTGGCTTCTCATTTATCATTCTATACTCTTATGTTTTGTTTTTCTTAGAAAATTCGTAATGTACTAGCCAATGAAAAGGTGTCTGAGTTGGATACATTTCGTTTAGTTGCCTTGTATGCTCTGAGATATGAGAGACACAGTAATAACGACCTATCAGCATTAATGGAGGCTATGGCTAGGAAGGGTATGAGTGAAAAATATAGGCGGGTAAGTAAAAGTACAAGTAAGTGTGTTCTGATAGTGATCTCGCTCGTAAATATCATGATAAAAATGACCATTCAGTGGGTGGGGAAGATTATGAATTTAATACTTTTCACCAAATAAACCTGCAATTTATTTTTAAATATTTGATTTAAGACCTTGTAGCCAATAATGAAAAGTTATGTCTAAAATTAAGATATTATAGAAATATACCTAAAAATGAGATAAAATGCTGGCAGGAATACTTGTGTTTAAAAAGTTATTAACGTCAGATGTATTCGTAGTGAGGTATACCAAAAAATTAACTTAATAAACTGACCACAGGTAATGTCGTGGTTGCTGGTCGACCCCCGATCCTGAGTAAGTGTGTTTCAGACATAATGGTAAGGCTAAATCCACTGACTGAGACTGACTGACTGATTAACTAATGGATGTGACTTTTAAATGTTAAGAAATGTCGCCTGGCACAAAAATATTTAAAAAAATCAAACAATTTAGGTATCTTCATTTTATCTGTTGGTGTGATGTATTAAGCACAAAACTGATATTCATTGACAAACAGAGTGAATACATACACAAATGGGCGATGCGTTTAATTATTTTACCTACAATTTAATACTGCAAGTATTAAACATAGAACATAATTTAGCAGTGCTTCAGATTTTGGTGAATACATTTTTGTGTATTTAAAATTAAAATATAATAGTAATAGTGTCAAAAATAAAACTGTCGTTGTATTTGTACATTCTAATTTGGATGTGTTAATCCTCTTGTTGCCTCTTAGATGATAAAATCCTTGTTAGATTATGGGGGAAATCGAGCCAGAGGTAGTGATTTATTTGGAACTAAAAATCCGATCTCACAAGCCAGGAGATTCTTTAAAGGTTTGAAGGTAAGGACATGTCATATAATTTATGAATAATCAGGAAAGTATTTTATGGTTGTATCTTGGAATGTATGTCAAGTAGGACATTTACATGTGTTGTTGTCAAGCAAATATGTCAAATAGATGCATATTAGATTTCTTTAAAAAGGTATGAGCAATAAAATAATTACCATATAAACAACTGAACTCCTACTTTTGCTGCTTAATACAATTAGTGAATACATGTATATAGAAAATATCCTTAAAGATTGGATATGACTTTTGTGATCTGATTTGTAACATTGAAGCAATAGCTGTATATCTAAGGGACGACGTCAAAAGATCGATGTCGGATAAAAAACTTAATTCCTTTAGTTTTTTTTCCAAACCCCCCTACCCCCCACTGAAACTTAATCGATAAATATTGGTCATGGCGT